GTATGATTACGTCACATGTCTAAATATAGAACGTCAAACAGTGATTTTATAGCATAATAACACACACTTTCGGTTTCTTCTATGTTCAATAGGGAAAAATGCGGGTCGTGTTAGAATTTCACATTAAACACATAGAATTCTCTTCCATTAAATTTTTTTATCTTCAAAATTTAACTTGAGCATCCTAAACTGAGAAGTTCAGTAAGTAAATTAAACAAATAACTGACTTGATATAGAATTCACTGTCAATTAATATTGAATTCACAGTCAATTTAAATTTAATCAAGTTCTATATGGATATTAGTGCTTCAATAATCATAAGTACCTTTGTGTAATTGTTGTACAAGGTGTCTGAAGGAAGATCAACTGTAGAGCTTTCTTCCTGACTGCTGGCATCTGTGCTCTCTGGATTAACCTTAAATAAGTTATAACACATGTAGAAATGGGAACTATTGAAATATTTTAAACAAATTGGAAAATAGAACCGTGTCCAAAGGACACGGATGCCCCCACTGACAAGATAACATATGGTATATAGTGAAAAAAAGGGCCAAAATTCTATTAAATTTGGTCGCAGGCAAAATTCCTTCCTTTACTACCATCTACACATTAAGGTTGTTCATCCCTGGAAGTTTAAGCAAAATCTGCCATCCGGTTTAAGAGTTGCATTCACAAGATTTCGGGATGTACGGACGGACAGACGGACAAGTGCAACGCTATATGCCCCCCACTTTGTGGGGACATAAAAATCACACCATATTACATTTAACAATTAATGCTGTGATGAGAACTTGGGGAAAGTGCAAAATATACTTAAAGATAATGGTATCATGATCCATTTAACCATATGCTACTTAATATTATTAATATATTATAAATGCTATAAAATAAATATATTAATTTGAATAACAATTTTGCGGGCACCTATATTTCTTAGAGTAAAGCCACAATAGTTAAAGCTTTATTACCTTTACAACATCCACATCTTCATTTCCCGGAGTTGATTGACTGGCAACTGCATGGGTACTGGCAACTGCTTGGTTCTAAAATATTATTTTCAAATTCTAATATTATGATAAAAAAATTATTTAATATCACTAGCTGTGTGGGTTCGAACAACATACAAGTATACAACTGACCTATTTTTCAGTTCTTTTTAGTCCCCATTAGGGAAACATACCTTAAAAAGTATGTTTATTAACTCTGCTCAGCATTACAAAAAATAACTTAAGATTGCTATTGATCAGGAAAGTGTACTGACAGTAGCATACAGTCTAGAATGGATTACTGTGTCCTGCTATTACCTCTAGGGCTGGTACTTAAAAAATAAAATTTGAGTATGAATTATGCGATGTTTACCTAAATTCCAAAGGCAAAATTTACTTCCAATGTTTTGAAATACTTTTGTATAGGTTGCTCAATTATACATTATTATACTCATGTGAAGAATAAAAAACAAAACCTAGTTTATATTTGCATAATTTTATATGTTTAATGTTTAGAATGGTTTAAAGAAAAATAAACATGCTTTTAGAACTAATGTTTAAGTTTTAAAGGTTGTCTTGATAACAAAAGATTTGTGGTTCAATTTGTGAATCGTAAGTGCTGAATCGTGGATCAGATCGTCACTTATCCGACGATCCACACCCCCTAATTACCTCTAAGTTAAGACCACTTAAGTACAATGAAATCGGAATTAAGAAGTTGTAGCTATTCGCTGAATTTGTTTTGGATTAAAACTTTATTCTGGAACTTGTGTGTAAATTAATTGTTATACTGAGTCCTATAAAATATGAGTCTAAGACTTTTAATCTCATTTTGAAATTGTACTTTTATCAGTTAAATTAATGGGATGTGATATTTACCTGATTGCAAGATTGACTTAACCATTGCACATTTCTTTGCAATTCATATATGCAGCCCCAAGCCTGGTTAAGCTGCATCTCCAGCCAGTTCACTTTCCCTTCCAGATGTTGGACTCTGGTTTGATCAATTGACGGACTGGTATGATGTACTGGTTGTGGGGAATTATCTTCAATTATTGCATTATCTGCATTTAATACATTAAATGCAGATGTGAAAACCGAGCTTGTATCATCAGAACTAAAAATAATTAAATGAAACTCAGTAAATCTAGTGTAGACTTTTGTTTTCAAAATGCAACAATGAACAATTCTTTTGACTTGCAACAAAATACAATAAAATTGATGTACTTGGAAAATTATGCTATTTTAAGACTATAATTATGCAATGGACTTTTATCCTGCTACTGTCTGTATCATCAGCTGGATAAAGCCTTGCCGGATTAACTTATCTATCTCCAGTCATTATGTCACATGATGACATCACATGTTTAGCAGCAAAACAAAACTGCATATAGATGCTATTTTATCAGGAAAAAAGAAGAATGAAACCATTCAATTATTCTAAAACATGATAAAAAGCAGGATAAATCAAATACATGGTTGATGTCTGGATGGAGAAGGTTTATCATGTTCGCTGCGAAAGTGCATCTTGGTTCGCTAAAGCTCGCCAAGATACACTTTCTCGCTCACCTGATAAACCTTCTTCATCCCGACATCAACCATGTATTTTGTATTTCCTCTTCTTAAAATATATGGAAAAATCAGGGTATTCTTGGGATCAATCATCATAATAGTGCAATTTGAGCAAGTTTAACATACAATACAATACATTGATTCCACTTACTCTTTATTATATGTTTCTCGATTTTTCTCCGTCTCCACCTCCACCTCAAACATACGCTGGGCCTCTGCAGCCTTCTCCAAATTGATCTGTGCGATAAAAAGTATGATGTAAGCTAATACAATTGCTGTTTTTCATCTTCTTCCTTTAATACTCTCATATTTGAGATTTTCATTATACTCAATAAAAAAACCCTAACAAAGTTCTTGGGGATATCTTCATATTCTTTAGGTCACAATAAGCCCAAAAGAATTGATGATAACGTTTTTATTTATTTTATATCCATGACCATCTATATTTTGCAACTTTTAACATTCCATTATGACAAACCTATAGTATTGTTACATAACTATTTGTTTTAATTAATTATTTGTCTATTTTAACATGGTTGCAAGTTGAAAAGATCAGAATGCCTGAATTTAAATGTCATTATCTCATAGTTCTTTAGAAATAATTCTTCACAAACATATATCATTCAATCAACTCACTTTTGCCTGCTTTTCTGTTACCGGCTTCTTTTTGGGCTCCTTTCCTTTTGAAACTGGTATTCTGAAAAGCAAAAATGAAATTGAAAAAAGTATTCATATACTTCTATCAAATCTTAAGAACATGATTTGATAGCTAAAACTTCAAAATTAAAACAGATTTGAATCTGTTTTGTAAGACAAAATGGGCGATAAGTTGAACATAAAATCAGGAACCCGCGATGTAAGTGTTTTTAAAGTTAACCAAGATCCCCTTGTATACTTGTTTCTTTGAAAGGGCACCACAAAAACTGAATTCTGTAATAAAACTTTTTGTTAAAATTATGTGATTAATCCAAAAATGTTCACCTTAAATATAAAACAAATCGACTAAGAAACCTTTTTAATGTAAACCATTTATTGTCACATTTTCTGCAAATATTTATCTTCATGTATATACATTTTATTACCATCTTTACCAATATGTATGTTAAGTTTTTAAAAGATGCATAATCTTCTATTGTAAAAATAGAAACCAATTAAAACTTACTCTTTCCTTTTGCCACTTTCCTTGTGCAATTCAGGACTTTCCAACTCCTGGATGTTGGTACTAAGTTCTCTTTCCTGGCCATTTATCTCTGGACAAGTCTTAAATAAGAAATATAATCTTTACACAGACATCAAACTTTTAACTGGGCACTTCAGCACATAGTCTGACAAGTCATGGACACTTTAATGTTGTATACAAATAGTGCCTATGTTGTCATAATTTACTTTAGAGAAATACATCTAATTTATATCATTACTATTTTCAAAGGTAAAGTAAAGCATTAAGTAAAGTTAATTAAATTTAACTTATGTAAAATCAAAATACAGAAGTATTCCTTTTAAAAGATTGCTAAATTGCAACATTCATCCACTATCTTTTCTCAGTATGTTTTCCCAAAAAGAGCTAACAAATTCACTGCTCAGATAGCTTGTGTTAAATCTAAATTGAAAGCCAAATAAGTAAATTCAAGTTTAACTTCAAACCTCAGATTAAGACTTACTTCCTCTATTATCTTCATAAATGATGTATGATCATCAATTATTGCTTGCATCCCTTTCTTCATGCTTTCATCTGCAAATAAGAAAATATATATTATGATATTATTCTATTATCCAAAGTATTTGATAGGGGCATGCTACAATTTTATGACAATATCCACACTATTAATATTTCAGATAATTCACAATTAAAATTTAGGTAATATTTAATATTACTTAAAGGATAATGTTATGTAGATCTAATCGAGTTTACTTTTTAAAAATCTGTTACATACATGTATATAGAACATTTACATGGATCTAATTCAACTACAGTTGAAACATATCAAGATTATTTTCACAACTGTTAAGAGCCGATTTGACCTTTTTTACTACTAATAAAGGGACCGATCTGTCCATGTTCCGATCTACCTGCGACGGTAATTTCTTGGGAAAAATCGAGATAAAAGACGCGAAAACGCATGACATTATAGCTAAACATTCCTACGGCAATATAATTTGTAGGCTCTGGTTATTAGGACATAGATAGGGCATTGATCAGTGTTGATAATATATAAATATAAATGATAAGAATAACAGCTTACCGCCAATCGTCCCAATAATTCCTTTCGGAATTCCAAATTTCGAAAACCGCACAGAAACCAAATCGCCAACTTTGTAGTCAGTCAGCTCCTTTCTCGGCTCCACAATATTACTCAAAGACAATACTGTTCCTGTGATTGGAGTGTCGTTTATCCATACAAATAAACCAAAAAGTTTCATTTTTATTTCGTCAGTAGTGAAGATTTAATTTTACAAAATGTGTAGTCGTTGCAGTCGGCTGAATCTTAGCGGAATTTTGAAAATGCGCGGAAATCCGGTACTGTCTGGAAATATTACGTCACTCGGCTGCTGTGATTGGAAGAACTAGTTTCCTCTTCTTGTCATAATTTAAATATTGTCAATATATCAAATCGTAAGTATTACCACAACATTTTGTAAAAATAAAGAGTCATCCCACAGTTTAAATTTACAAATTGAGAATAATAAAATAAATTTTAGAAATTTTCCAGCATCCTCGGAAACGGAAGTTACAGATCATCCGCCATTTTGAAATTCCCAAAAAAAAAAAAAAGAATCAGTAGATTTCTTATAAAAATTGAATAAATGACCACTTATATAATTCTTTATCATTAAATGGTCAATGGTGATCCACCTAACTACAAAGGTAAATATCGTAATTTGAAAATTATTATCGATAGGCCTATAAATAAATAGTCTTTTACAATTTGGGCCGATGCTGGCAGAGATTCACCACCTGGCATTTCGAACACAATTTATTGCTTAGTGTGTGTAGTGCTAAAAAATAAAAACATACGTTTTTGTAACAGGATTATTGTTTAACAATCTTACTATACTATAATGTTTATTTTCCAGTATATAATTACAAATGGACTTTTACTGCTAGCCAAAGGTTCCAGCCGTATTATTGAGTCACGACTCACGTACGTCACGCAATGTTGAGGTGACAAGTATTTGGTGTGTGTCTACTCCCTACTGCTAAATATGGTAAGCATGATATGCAATCGATGTGTTATCAAATTGAGGTGTAATATACATAAATTAATGACCTGAGCAAACTGGATTGCTAAAAGTTTTAAAAAATCTTTCAAGAAATAAATTTTAAATGTTTAAAAGAGTGAAGACAGGTGGTGGATTTCTCCAGAATTCCAGCTGATAAGCCGTTGATTTATCTATCGATTGGGGTTGCTAGAAATAGATCTACATGTGATTATATTTGTTTTATAGGGATTCTTATTTTATTTACATCAAATATTTAAACTGTTAGTGTTAAAAGTACCAAAGTTTATTTGCAGTTTCTTCACAAAGTTATGTATGTTAAATCACAATCGTATATAGATATTTCAATTTTCTTTGAGACTGTTTTAAGAGACTCCATGTCATAATTTTTTGTGGCTAGCCATGCCATTTAAAAAATACTTAATATTTGAGTAATTATTATACATATCTTATGGATGACATGTTTTCCTGACAAATATTATAATTTCGTGCTTTCTTCTTTTTACAGATGAAGGAATATGATCTCCATGCTTGCAAAGCAGGGGAGAAAATATGGAAATGTCCAATTGACACCTGCACAAAAATTCTCACTCGCAAACAAACTTTGCAGACACATATTTCATGTATGCATGGTATAACAGGTAAGTACTTACATCCCATTACAGAATTAATATGATTATAAAAAAGACAAAGCCTAATAGTGAACTCAAAATTAATTAAAACACTAGTAAAATGTTTTAAGTAATATTATTTGTTATATCTATTGATTTATATCTTATATAAAAGGAACATAAAATGATAAATTACATTAAAGTAATAATTTTGAATATAAATAAAATCTTAATTACAAGCAAATACATTCGAATCTTTTTATTTACATTATTTTATTCTGTGAATTCTCATACAAGTCCTTTTTGGGAAACAGACAATGGTATAAAAATTACTGTTCATTTGAAAATTGCACCTTTACTTCCAGCCAAACTTTTCAAAGCATTATAATTTAAAGATAAATGCATAACCATAATGCTTGATTTGCCCTTTATGCTCTTAACCCTGAAGACTTGATAGACTGTGTTATAAACTTAACACTTTGTTATTGCTAGTAAAATTATATTTTTGCATGCAAGTCCATTTTGGATTTTGATTCATAAGCTGCTTTTTTTTCCAGTTGGAAACCCAAGAAAACGTTACAAACTGTATGATGTCGACGACTCAGTACCTGTGCCATATTCTACTTTACATCGCCAAAGGTATATTTCAAATCTGAACAAAATTGTCAAGCTACCATTTGGCATAATTACTTTTCCATAAATTTTGATTCAACTATATTTCCCTGGTTATTTCAAACTTGGACATTCAGCACACTGGTCTCCAGTTATGATTGAAATATCATCAAAACATAAATACATATTCAGATTATGAATTATGACGATAACAATTAATTTTAAGTCTGTATATCTACTCATCTTGTATATAAGATGTTTGCTTAACAGTTTTATTTTTATAGGACATAGTTATTTATATATGAAATCTCTGATACAATATTATAAAGAGTAAAAAGTCAAAGTCCCAACAAAAAATTCAATTAAGTTTTACAGAACTTTTACTGTATAATTATGGTGGAAAAAATGATGATTGAAGTTGTATAATTATTAAGAGTGTAACGGTTTAGCGGTATTCTGATATATTGCCATATGATAAAAAAAATTGTACCACAGTACGATTTCCGGAAAACCAGTATTTTTTAAAATCATTATTTTTAATTAATTGCCTTCTAATTTTGTACAAATTTCACAAGTTTCCCCTTATAATAACATATAATGATTATTGTTACCCCATCTTTACATCAAAACATATACATGACAATTATATATTGCTTATTATATAAATTATTACTCTTCTGCAAAATGGCAATATATTGCAATACGGTTTTTGCCGAATTGTTACACCTTAAAATTTATTATTCATTAATACATACATGTTTATTTGTTAGAAAGGTATTCATGATTTAAAATGAAAAATTCGCTAATATTTCATCTTTTAAAAATGAGAATGTAGATTCTAGATATGATACATGCAAGTATTTAAGTTTGACCAAATAAATTCTGTTTTTAGGAATAAACAGAAAGAAGACAAATGTGAAAATCAAATAACAAATAGTGCCGCTGCAGTGTTGTTCAATGAAAGCGTTTCTGATGATAACAATATGGAGGAAAGTGAGATGGATGAAGTGATGATAGAGTGTCAAGAAGAACAGCTTATGTCAACTGATAGCAGCTCAGAAGAAGAAAATGAACAGTTCTCTTCTTTGAACAATTCTAAAGATGATCCTCCACTTTATGTTCTTCCACCATCAAATGAGATGTATGAAAGTGAACTCACCCAATCAAAGCACTCGCTGTCTTTAGCTGCCTTTTCTACTAGACACAACTTGTCTGATACTGCTTTAAACGATTTGTTGACACTTATACAACTGCATTTGCCACAGAATAATGTTGGTGAAACAACCATTAAAGATTTGAAAGAAAAGTGTGGCTTCAACAAAAATTATATCACTTGTAAACTGTACTGCGACTTGTGTAAAAAGGTGTATTTAGATACCACTGATACATGTCAAACTCCGGGATGTGAGGGATTGAAAAATGATTCAAAAAGTTGTAAATACTTTGTTACTAGTGACTTGAAAGCACAAATGAAAGAAATTCTTGAGCGGAAAGGTATGTGGGAAGCTATTGCACTAACAAAAGTTGCCAGTGCCACTGTCACAATAAATGATATCACTAGTGGATTTGCTTACAAAAAAATGCAAGAAGAAGGACAGTTTCTACACAACACTTCTAATGTTACTCTAAGTATGTTTACCGATGGAATACCTCTCTTCAAAAGTTCTGGAATATCTTTATGGCCTGTCTATCTCTTGATAAATGAAATTCCAGCAAGGGAAAGGTTTTTGAGGAAAAATATGCTGTTGTGGGGTATATGGCAAGGAAATGGAAAGCCAAAAATGAACATGTTCTTCCATCCTCTACTTTTAGACCTGTTAGAACTTTATAATGTAGGTATCCCAATAGTAATTGAATCTAGAACAATGTGCGTGAAAGCCATGGTAGTTGTTTTAACTATGGACCTTCAAGCAAGATCATATGTTACTAATATGACCCAACATAATGGTGAATATGGCTGCTTGTACTGTGAAGAACCTGGTGTTGTGGTTGAAAGTGGTAAAGGTCGTTGTCGATCATATCCTTTCAGGGATTTCCCAGCAAAGCTTAGAGAGGAGGATGAATTGAAAGAATATGCTATGCAAGCCGAAGAAACTGGAAGTCGTATTAAAGGAATTTTTGGAAGAAGTGTCCTTAGCTATTTACCGTATCTATCATTGACAGACAGTGTAGTAATTGATTATATGCATGGTATTTTGCTAGGAATTACAAAGAAGTTACTTCACCTATGGTTTGACTCAGAAAACAAGACCATGCCATTCTTTATTGGAAATAATGCAGTGAAGATAGACAAAATACTCAGGAACATTAAGCCACCATACAGGATTCATAGATTGCCAAGGATTATAACAAATACATTCATGCATTGGAAAGCATCTGAATTAAGAAATTGGCTTCTATTCTATTCACTTCCATGCCTACTTGATTATTTACCAGAGCTTTATTTGAAGCATTTTTGCTGTCTGGTTGAAGCAACTTTCATTTTACTAGGTCAGGGTATTACTTCATCAGATTTAGAAAAGGCTGAAAGATTATACAAGTTTTTTGTACAACAAGCTAGTACTTTGTATGGTAATAATGTGCTGAGTCTTAATATGCACAACCTGACACATATAGTTGATTGTGTAAGGAAATGGGGTCCACTTTGGGCTTGGTCTTGTTTTGCATATGAATCCTTTAATGGCGAAATTAAAAAAGGTGTACACGGCACTGGAAATGTTTGTCGACAAATTTTTTGGGCATTTCAGGCTCAAAAACGTATCTTTCATACAATGCAAAATTTTGATTTTACAAAAGAAGGGAAATTTAAAGAATTTATGGAAGATATGCTAGACAGCAATGATAAGAAAGTTGGTCATGATGCTTACCAATGCAAAGTAGTTAAAATTACTGATGTCAAAGAAAACTTTGAACAACAAATTCATTTAAAACTTAAAGATTTAATTGATTTTGATAATGATCTAGATTTTTCTTATGTGTCTAAAATTGTTCGAAATGGATTTTTCATGTACTGTCTGACCAAGTCTAAGACTAAGAAACAAAATTCTTATACAATAGCATTAGAAAAAAAGACCCCATTAGGTGAAATTGCCATTGAAGTTCAGAGATACCTTTTTCATAGAAAAACAGGCAGGGTTTTTGCTGTTGGGAAAATGGTAACTGAGGGGGGACTTGTTTTAGGGACATGTGTTCCTCATCTACAAGTGATGAATGTCAAAAATGAGGTCAGTGTGGTCAGAGCATGTGACCTTAAAGAACCATTATTTGTTATTAAGACAGATAACCGAGTGTATGGAGCTCTGTTCCCTAATCATTTTGAAAGGGACTAAATTTCTAAAAAGTAAAAAGACGATAAAGTATTCATGTACTCAATACTTTATAACAGTTAAAAGGGCACTCTCATGCATAAATTTCAAATAAACCAAATGTTACCCTACATGTATGTTTAATTTTTTTACTTTGTATGTTTAATTTTTTTACTTATTTTAAAATAAGAAATTGTTTTTTCACATGTCTTCAATAAGGACTTTTCAATGAAAAATATTTATATAGGACCTCACATTGCTTGTCATATAACAAGTTTAAGAAGATATAATTATTTGGACACGTTAGATTAGATATTTGAATGATATATAATAATGACATCAAATGTGATATTCTTTTTTCATCACATGACTAAAGGCAGTAAAATCAAACTTGTTTTTATGTTATATGCATGTTTTTGTATGCCGTTTTTCTTAATTTTTGATTACAGGTAAAGGTGAAAATATGTGATGACAATTTTATATTATATGTTAAACATGTATATTAAATATAAGGTCTATAATATGTCAACATCATTCATCTGTGTTATGCAATGAATTGAGAAGATTGTATAAAATAAATGTACATGTATACATTTGGTATTATTTAATAATTATATATTATAAAATACATAAATCAATAAATGATTATAAATCTCTAAAATCTTTATTTATATTAAACATTCTTTTCCATCTAGCATATCATTATGACAATAAATATAAATAATTCAGTATTCATTACAGTAAGGATGATTTAAAAAAAAATAATAAAAAAAATTAACTAAGTCCTTTGTCCAAGCTGAAAATTTTCTAAGTGTTGCTTTCCAAGTGAATTCCAAGCTAAAAATTTTCTAAGTATCTGAAAGTGTTCATTTTCCCAGCTCAAAAAAAACTAAGTTTAACTTTCCAAGGTATTGTCCAAGCGATTCCTAGGAATTTTTCAGACAACCATGGAATATGTCCAAGGAAAAGTTAAAAAAAAAATTTTCACCTTGGACAATTGCAAAATTGTCCAAGGTTTCCTAGGAAAACTGCCCTTAAAGCTTGGACTTCCGTGGTTTTTTCCATGATTTTTCTTGAATACCTTGGAAAATACACAGCCGGGAATAGCCTTATCTGGTTTTCCCTAAAATTTAGGAATAGCCTTATCTGGTTTTCCCTAAAATTTAGGAATAGCCTTATCCAGTTTTTCCTAAAATTTAGGAATAACCTTATCCAGTTTTCTCTAAAATTTACTAAATTATAAATAGCCTTCTCCAGCTTGGAAGCTGGAAAAAGTTGAACTAAGATCATTTAGCATGTGAATATTAATTAAACATATTTAATTTAAGATGAGCAAAATTTTAAGAAATTACTCAATTCAAGACATTACAAATTTATCACAATGGAAGCAGAGCATTTTATGCGATCAAAATGTCATGAAACTTAAAAAATCATCACATTAAAATAAAATAGATATTTTTTCCAGCATGCTTCTGATTCAGCTGAAATTGAATATACAGTAATTAAAATTGCATATATAATATATACAGCATCATTTTGATAATTGTTCATGAGATAGGATCAAGTGAAATTGAAAGAATGAATATTTAATTTTATTCCCCATGATAATACCTGAAACACTGTAATAAACGCCCCATGCCTGATGTAAAGACTGATGTAAAGACTGATGTAAAGGTGGGTGGGGGTTTCCTTAGATAATAACATACGAGTGAGACTAAAAAAAGGATTGGAGCACCACACTTAAAATACCGTATTCCGGTATATACCGGGCAAGGCGCTTGAATCATAAAATGCTAAAATCTTGCCTTTTTACCCAACGGAATGAACTTTAATAGGTCTCATTCATCTTTTCACACCGATTTATGTATGATCATGAATGAAAAATGTAAAAATCGGCAAAAAAAACTATATTTGTCTATTTTGTGATCATGATTTCTGCAAGCGTCTAGAGCTACTGCTCCAATCCTGTATTGAGTTAAATCCATAACATACACACTGGTCTCTCTTCTTTTTTCAAGTTTGACTGAAGTGTTTTTACAAAGTTTTTTGAAGTTAGTCTATTGGAATAACATGGGGACATAGTCTGTGACTTGTTCCTGCTTGTCTACACCTGGATGTTATTGCATTGCTGTGGTACCGTTGCACTTTTTCATTGAAGTTTGAAATGAGTTATTTCTAATAAAAAAAAAAAAAAAAAAAAAAAAAAAGAAACCCCACTAAATATTATGTTTATTACCATCACTACCATTTGCAGAATCTACAGGCAATGGATTTGACATTTTAAGTAAGCCCTTTTTATCAGCTTAATATTTTTCAAAGAAATATTCTTAAGTATCAGCTTCTTAAAGATCTTAATGTTTGTTGAACACAGGCTATAGCTGAAAACTGATCAGTTCTTGTTCTTGAGGGTTTATATGAAGATGTGCCTTTATTAAAGAGTTTACGGCATCTGACGATGAACGTAATTCACATGTGATATATGTTTTATTATTTGCAAAATTTTGATATATGATTTAAAGTTATGGAGGTTGGTACATCTGGAAAATTTTATTAACCTGTGAAATTTGTGAAATGGATTTAGGCGGCTCTAAAGTTTGAATATTTAAAGTAACGGATTTAGCTGGTTTTAAGTTTTGAACAATGCAGTCCAAAAAAATTTGAGCTAAACCAGCAGTATAGAACCTTGTCAGACTATAAGGATGTTGTCAGGCTGGTCTGGGCTCTATATAGTGGTCGCAAAGGCTGATAAGGTTAAGGGTTCAAGCTTCTTTCTATCTTTTATACCTAACTTTTGAGTTTACAGGTGATAACTTGCAGGGCCTGGCTCTTTACTGGTGCCAAAGTCTTATTCACTCACTACAAGCATGATGGGATAAAAAAAGTAACGAAATTTACACAAGGTGTAAAACATTATGGAAATAAATAGAAACAAAAGCGCTTTTTTATGTAGCATCTAAATATAAGTTATGAAATAGACGCTATTTTTTCTCCCACTCTCTAATTTGTGAAAACTTTGAAGTTCAAATTTGCACTGGATCCATTATTACTTTTAAATTGATTCGTTTAACTAACAAAAACTCTAGTGAAGCTTTGTACATAAAAGAAAACTATTATATTTTTTTTTTTGCATGCATTTTAAAAAAAAAACGGGTCTGTTTTTATACCTTTTAACAAATTGGTTAAAAAGTAAACAGTGCGCGGGTTTTGGGGAGATAAAGATCTTTGTGAAGTTTAACGCAGGTTGTTTAGCGGAAATAATGGTTCGATTGTTACAACGGTAGACAAGAGTCGTGGTCCTTGTCTGGGGGTCTTATTTAAGCTTGTAAACTTTCAATAATATCCTTTTCATTTTTCAAACGGAATATATTTGACACGAGGGTATAAAGTTTAAAGCCGGCACAATACGGCAGAATTATAATGATTTTTAAAAAATATGAAAGACTTAGACGTTTCGCTTCTTTAACTCATAAGCTTTTTGTCTGTGTTTGTGTGTGTGTGTTTGGAATAACTGCAGACATCACTTGCCCATTGTTATTAGGAAATTTTATTTTGGTTATCATTAAAAGATACAGAAAATTAAAAGAACAAGAACTTTTAAGATGTTTATTTTAGACCTATACTTGTATTTTAAATTTTGTTTGTTTTTGTTTATATGTATGCATTGAAGCTTCTTGGAGAAAATTTTCAAAATTGTGTAAGAATCAGGAATTTTCAATTGTTATTACAGTTTAGTCCTAATTTCTGGCCTGTATTTGCTATTTATCTGATGATACTGGAGGGGGTGGGGGGAGTAAAAGTGTTATTAAGGTGGATTGTTCATCCGATGATGTATGACTGTTACCAAAATAAAGGGCCTTTACCAGGGTATTGAAAATCGAGAAATCAAAAACCTGAGACTTTTTCTCAGGGGTCCAGTGGGCCCCGACGGTTGATTGCAATTCACAGATGCGTAACAATACCTAAATATTTTCCTTCTGTTGTACTTAATTAGCTAATTCATATTGCATCTGGGCTTGTTTAAACTTGAGTTGGCGAAATGTTGTCTATAGTTTTAACACCAAGTTAGGGCTGATTTGGTTTTTTTTGACATATCATGTTTGTTGAAAAATCATGTTTGTTGAAAACAAAGTGCACAGTCCTTTGATCTTTTCACTTAGGAAATTTGAAGTTTTGCGTTCAGGTTGCTAAGTATGGCATGGTGAGATAAAATCTCCTTGTCATTTGAAATCGGAGGTCAAAACGAAAATGGATTTAAAATTTGTCCCTGCACAGGTGTATAACAATTTGAAACTATCATGACTTGTGTAAGTGGAGTATTGTAAACAAGGTTTATATATGGTGAGCAGTTTAATCAGGTGAATCGTAAAGTAAAAACGTTTTATATACTTGAAATTTAATAATAGTCATATATTGTGCTTAACTGAAGTAAGATTTTCATTTGTAAATGATGGATAATTTTATATTATGTATTTACTTTTGTATGTAAAAATTTGTCAACTGTTTTTTTTTTCACATGAACGTAACAAATTAGATGGTTAAGATAGGGCAAAAAAAATTGTTAAAGATATTTTAAGTGTTGATTCAGAAGGAATTTGGTTTAAAAGCTGTGATGCTAAAACACATGGTTTGGGATAAGATGGAAAAAAATGTTTATTTTGAAAATGGATTTATAATTGGAGCAGATCTATTCAGAATAACTGCTTTCAGTTTTGAAATAAGAGTGAGTTATTTAAGCTGTTTTTGAGGTAATTCTCTCAATAAACACATGTTACAGTTACTTTCTTTCTTTGTGTATGTTTAAAATTACTGGGAAATGAGCAAATCAATTACCCAGAAAGACATGGCTGTACTGAAAGGTTCAATTGGACATATTGGCAATGCTTTCTGGTATATTGGTACAGAAACGTGGGATTTAGAATGAATTTACCATGCAGCCGAAGTTGTTTACCTCTGTGATTAATCATTTCTTAATGGGATTTTAATACAGTGATTTTAAGGGGTTGGAAATTTGCTGTTTCATTGTTTACTCAGGTACTTGAATCAATT